AAAGAAAGAAAGAAAGAAAGAAAGAAAGAAAGAAAGAAAGAAAGAAAGGGAAAGGGAAGGAAAGAAACCTCTAAAACAGTCAAGTACCCATAGACTGTGACAAATTCTGTGGCCAAACCAACTGGTGACTTCATCATGCCATTGGATTAAGAAACATTGGTGTGATTTTTGTACCTTGAAAGCCTTTTGAAAAAATTACTGGTCAACGTTAGGGTCCTTGTGTGTCTGCAGAGTACCCTGTGATAGGAACAAGCGATGACAGGACCAGATAAGGTCCCACAGACTTCCTTCCACCCAGACACCAACGTATGTGAGTTTCCGTGACTTGACTTGGCCACCGACAGCTCCTGTCACACTCCGCACTAACCTTTTGGACATGAAGTGCACAGAGTCGCGGATTCTCGGCAGGTTCTACAGGAAGAATGACAGGGTTGGTCTTTTCCCAAAATGTCTGTATGGGAAAGAAAGCACAAGTCAGACTTCTCCTTTGAACAGGTAAGTAGACTCACGGTGTTGAGAAAGATCTTATGGGGAACCTAGTCTTCCCTCCCGCCTGAAACAGAACCCTTTGTTTTTCAGGGGGGGGGGTTGGGGTAGGAGTCTCACTCTGTCACCCAGGCTGGAGGGCAGTGGCCCGTTCCTGGCCACTGCAATCTCGACCAGAAGCCTACACAATGTCAGTGAGCAGGTGCCAAAATTTAGATAATGTAAGATCAAAGGGAGCCAGGCTCAGTGGCCCACGCCTATAATCCCAGCACTTTGGGAGGCCGAGGGGGGAGGACTGCCTGAACCCACGGGTTTGAGACCAGCCTGGGCAACTTGGTGAGACCCCATCTCTACAATAATTAAAAAAATTAGCTGGGCGTGGTGGCGTGTGTCTGTAGTTTCAGCTACACGGGAGGCTGAGGTGGAGGGATCACCTGAGCCCAGACTACAAATGATTCTTTCTTTCATATGTTAAAAACGCACAATAAGGAGTGACTGCAAACTCATGAATGAGTTTGTAAGTCAAAGTCATCACTTCTTTCCCTAGATTCTTGGATGACCACTTCTATTCACTCCAAGGTGATAACTTAGAATTCATTGTGCCTGTTGTGGATAAACATGTTATCTTTATTCTTTTTGTTCTTTGTTTTTCAAAGTTAATTTCATTATTATTTGAGTCAGGGTCTCACTCTGTCACCCAGGCTGGAGCACTCCCTACAACCTGGACCTCCTGGGCTCAGGGGATCCTTCTACCTCAGCCTTCCCAGCATCTGGGACTACAAGGCATGCGCCATCAAGCCTGGCTAAGTTTTTGATCTTTTGTAGAGACGAAGTCTCGCCATGTTGCCTAGGCTGGTCTCAAATTTCTGGGGTCAAGGAATCCTCTTGCCTCGGCCTCCCAAGTGCTGGGATTACAAGTGTGAGCCACCAAGCACGGCCTTTTTTTTTTTGGATGTCAGATTTCATTATTGGCCAACGTTTGGGTCTCTGACTTCTTCAGAGTAGCCATTGTGGTAGGTAACCTAAATTGATCTCATCTTAAATTTGTCCCAAATCTTCGTTAGGTATCAAAAAATCAGCCCGTTCACAAGCTTTCTGGTTGGTTAGGCTTTCAGCAGGTCATTCCAGGTTAAGGCACCATTAACCAGGGAAACACCAGAAACATTCCTTCTCCCTTTCTCTCATCGGCTAGTCTTCCCAGGAAGTCACTCAGCAACTCCACGGGGCAATTTCAAGGATATACAGAAGAGTCTCAGTGATGTCACTCAGTAACTACATATTGAGACCTTGACCAAAGCTCAGGGATATGCTCAGGAATCAGTGTAACTCACACAGGGACACATTAAAAAAAAATAAGTTCTAGCTCTGAACGTGCGATTTAAATGCCGCTGACCCCTAGTCAATTGCCCGTGTCTCACCATTCTCTTCGGCTACCACCTTCCTCACTTCCTCCCTCCATTTCCTTCGCCTCTTCCCTCCTTCCTCTCCTGCCTTTCATTTTCCTCCCTCTCTTCCCCAGAGTCAGTCCGGTATAGGTGGCTGTCTCGCCACACCTGCCTTCTGATCCCAGCTGTACCGCTCCAGGGCCGTGTAACCATGGATACGGCAATTAAACTCTCGGAGGCCTACGTTCCTTGGCTTTAAAATGAAAGAAAATGATTCCCTCCTTGCAGCACTGTTGTGCAGATGAAATGAGATCACACGTGCCAAGGGCTTAACACGGTGGCTCAGTCAATGGTGGTGGCCTCTGCTGTCCTAGTCTCTCTCTCTCCACCCCATCTCTGAGGCTTATCTCTCTCTCCCTTCCCGCTGCTTTCATGCCTAGAGTAGTACCAGGAGGCACTGCTTGGCGTCCATGATGGCACTCAAGGGTAGAAGCTGCGGGGTCTTGCTAGAGAAGAAACTAGATTCAAGTATAGAAGATAGAGAAATGGATGACAGAGAGATAGGTAGATGGAGACCGAGAGAGAGGATGGAGATATTTAGATATAGATATAAATGATGACCTATGCAGCCATGCTGAGAGGCTGGCTTTTTGTAGTTTGGAGAGGAAGTTTTTCCCTGGTTTTCCGGCATACTAATTAAAGCTGATGACTGACTGATGTCCTCTCCCTGGGAGACCTATTAAAGGCTCAGTTTGGCCTTGTGTGGAGCCATGCATTAGCCATGGGATTGTCATAAAGGTGGTCCACATGCCTCCCCACGGGAGTGATTCTGTCCCCGAAGGTCTTTTTCACCTGACAATATCACTTAACCCACGGGAGAAGGCAGCAGAAAGACAAGCAACAATTTTGTTGCTAATATCAGTCAAGATTCTTACTGGGCTTGGTGTGATGGTTCGCGCCTGTAATCCCAGCCCCTTGGGAGGTCAAGGTGGGAAGAGGGCTTGAACCCAGGAGTTCAAGACCCGCTTGGGCAGAAACGTAGTGAGGCCCCATCTCTATTTTTATTTAAAAAAAAAAGTTTACTGAATTGCTGAAAGCAGTTGTTCAAAAAATGATAACATGATAATATTCACCAGACAGTGAGCACCTTGAAAAATTTTCATGTTCTGTGTCCAGATCCCAGGCTGATTTTCTTTTGATGTCATTTGTATACTGGATGTATCTACAAAGATGTTTTCATTAATTTTCTCATATTTGTATCTATATGACAATACACTTGTATTTATAATTGCATATCCATCATATACTGGCGATTTGATGTTTTACTGTATATGCGTTGTATAAAATTCTGTAGTGTCTTCATATTCCCACCAGAGGGAGCTCTGTACAAGCAGTTAACTTAGGCATTAGGCATGGGCAGGGGATGGTCATCCCCAGCTAGAGTTCTTTATCATAAAAGATTAGTGACTTAATCTCAAGTAGATTTTGACAGTGATCATAGATTCTCTGTTCTCCCCACTCCAGAAATTCTAGACTAAGCAAGGTCTGAGAGAAAGAAAGAAAGAAAGAGAGAGAAAGAGAGAGAGAGAGAGAGAGAAAGAAAGAAAGAAAGAAAGAAAGAAAGAAAGAAAGAAAGAAAGAAAGAAAGAAAGAAAGAAAAAGAAAGCAAGCGAAAGAAAGAAGAAAAGAAAAATCACTTTGTAGCATCCATTCTTTGGAAATGACTACAGTTAAACCATATACTTATAAAGCAAGGGGCCATTTATTCTACGTATTTTTTTATTAAATAAGTCATATCCACATGGTTCAACATGGAGAAAAGACATATGCTGTGAAATCTCCCTCTGAAACCCTTTTCCACCCTTTTCAATACAAACTGTATTTAGTCACACTGTTACATCCTCCCTGCCTTTAAAACAAACAGACATATATTTAGAAGACCATTCTTTATCAGTACATAAAGAACTTCTTCCCTCTTTTTCATGGCTCTATAGTATTTCATTGCATGGACGCGTCAACTTTCTCTCATCTCCTACTGGTAGCCATTGACCGTTTTCTAGTCTTTGCTATTTTGGCTGGAATGGCCATGACCACGTAGGCCAAAAGTGCTTCTTTAATCTAGGAGAGTTCTACAAGGCCAGGGGCTTCTCTTGATGGCCTCTCCTGGACATGACCACTTAGCACGTCAGGAGTGTCCTTACATGTTACAGAAATCGCCACGGCTGACTTTCCTCAGAGTTTTCCCTTGGAGCACCACTGACACTTGCTGTTCCGGGCTCCCTCCTCTCTCTTTTCTCTGATGACATCTGCACCCTGCTTGCTCCTGGCCTCCCAGCGTCTTGGGTTGGTTTCTACCAAGGGGAGACGGTCTCCGCAGCCGTGACTGTCGCCTATGTCCCTGTTACCTCTTTTTTTTTTCTTCTTCCTTGTATTTTTATCGTTGGTGGCCTTTTTGAAAACGTTTAGATTTAGGAAGCACGGGTGCATGTTTGTTACCCGGCCATAACTGGCGAGGATCAAACTGCAGGCGGCCCATTTCCCAGAGAGTGAACACTACACTCAATAGGTCACTTTCCAACCCTCCCTGGACTCCGTCCCCCCCCCATGGGTGTTCTCAGCGTCTATCATTTCCATCTTGGTGGGCATTTAGCTCCTGCATATCAGTGAGAACATGTGGTGTTTGACTTTCTGTCTCTGAATTTGCTGTCTAGGAGGATGACCTCAGTTCCATCCATGTTGCTGCAAAGGACATGATTTCATTCTTTCTTATGGCCGCCCGTTACCTCTTTTGAATCGAACCTTCCACCTTCGTCGCGCCTGCGGCAGCCTCCTCACCAAAGATGAGTTTGCAGTGGGCACAGCTTCTTTTTTATCAAAAAAATAAAGTGTTTTATTTTTTTAACGCAAATATATAAAGATAAAATTCAACCACAATCCCAACACCCAGAAGCATCCGTTGTGCATACTTTGACACCTAGATTTCTCATCGTTATATTGAATGTGTGTGTATAATTACATATATGAATAGATGGGTGATCAGTTATATCTTCTTTTGCCCAGGCTGGAATGCAGTGGCACAGTCACAGTTCACCCGAGCCTCCAACTCCTGGACTCAGGTAATCCTCCTGCCTCAGCCTCCTGAGTAGCTGGGATTACAAGTATGTGCAACCACGCCCAACTGATTTTTTGTAGAAGAGGTCTCACTATATTGCCCAGGCTGGTCTCGAACTCCTGAGCTCAAGCAATGCTCTTACCTCTGCCTCTCAAAGTGCTGGGATCACAGGTGTGAGCCACTATGCCCAGTTTAACATTATACATCTTACAAGCATTTTTCTCTTGTCATTAGCATTCTTTGTGAACATCATTTTTAATGGTGAGCATATTTCCTTGTATGAGTTAGAATTTACAAGACTTTTTTCTTTTGCCACATGTTTTCTATTGTTCTTCTTTAAAAAAATTATAAATAAAGCTGCTCCCAACATCTTGGTGAATATTTACATCTCGGTCAAGTCAGGACTCTGTCAATTAGATATCCATACTGACCTTTATTTGCGCCTTCTTTCTAAGGCCATTTTTCCTG